TTTCTCGACAGGCTGGCTTTGCACCAAGTACATGGAATAAGCATTGTTTATTCTACAAGAAGGCAATGATTCCTCCAGGTACCAAGGAAATGGATACAAATGAATAAAGTTTAGAGTGGTGGGGCTGAACACAGCGAGCTTCACAGGTGTTGTCTGCCGAAAATTGGTAAATGGAGCTGCCCACCCCTCCAAACAATCCTGGTGGGTCTACCTTGGTTGAAAGGTAATCCTCCTAGTTGCATTCAGGTCGATGGCCTAAGCCTGGAGGATGCTCTTGTCTTGCTGTCGGTAGACTCTACAATAGCAGGATAATGGCCGGGATACAATGATATCCAGAAGGCATTTTTCTCTTACCACAACTCCTCTAATGGCACATTGACTGCAGGCGCGGCTTCCTTGTGGTGCTTGGTGACATGAACTCTAAAATCTGCCGCACAGTTAAACGTTACCTCCTTGTCTCAGCAGAAAGAGCAAATAACTTTTAAGGCCCTGTGGGGAGAGGTGTTCTCTCAACTCCCGCCTATTGTCGAACGTCTCATTGCAGGGCTGACCATCAACCTCAAAATGACACTGGAATGGCATTCAATAAGAACACATTTGACTCTAATTCTCAGGATAGGTGTGACATTGGTGAAAATTTTCAGTTCAGTTATGGTTCTCTATAAAAAAAAAAGGGAACATAATCAACATAAGGGAAATAACAAGGTGATGGATATTGGACTAGTGGATGTTTACAAATGGAAAGGCACAGGATGTTGGAACTTTGGACGCCGCCGACCGTGGTAGTAAATAAAACAACAAAATTGTTGTATGACGACTTTAATGGTTTAATTTTGGTACGTATCATGCTGACAATTATAAAGAAAAGAACTTCAACAGCTTTCATTGTTGTCTACCTAAACAGCCTATGGCTGTCCACTTGGTGATCACAGTCACCTACCTCAGATAGCCCCTTATAACTTCCTCGCATACATACACAGCTAAGGTTATACCATGAGATGTAGAGTCCATCCCTGTATCAACCACGGTGAGGGCCCTAGACTGCACACGTCCGTAACATCCCTATCATTCCGTCGACCAACAGCGTGGTCAATAGATTGTGCACCTCCTTCACCTCCCTACACTGCCTCAAGGATAAAAAAAATAAATACGTAGGGCCATCCTTAAAATATTGTTTGCTTGCCCTCTTCCGACTCAGGGTAAAATTCTTGGGTCGGTAGGTAGATTATTGACTTTCCCTCAAAAATTTGTCAAAATATTTGTTGAGGGGACAAAAGGAATAAAAAAAAAAAATATTGTGTCCTGGAATGTAAAAAAAAGTTTGGAGTCGGGCCAGTCAGTTGGTAGAGAATACAATGTTTTAAAGGTGGCCTGAATTTCTGCATCATATCAACATTTTCATCTAAACAATATTCTACTTCTTATACCATTTTGTTGGGCGTTTCCCATTATAAGGGAGTAGTCTATCAATGTGGTATAATTTGCCTCACTGCTAACGAACCGTATTCAATATCAAAGTCCATAAAACAATACAAAATAGGAACAGAGCAAACACGGATCTCCAAAACATCAGAGATGAAATCAGGTGCCATGTAGGAGTGAGCATCTCCTGCCGACCGGTCACATCCGCCTTGTGCTCCTTGTCGTGATCGGGAAATAACGGGAAACTCCGTCGTCATTTGAATTCAATGGACTAACAATTAGTATGAAAAACGTCAGTCAGCATTTGACTCAATAATAAATTGTATTTGATGACAAAGTCATTGTATCGACCATAGAGTTTACGAAATGACGACTTTAAACGAGACTACTGATATCCTTGTTTCATCAACTTGTTTATCAGATAATTTACCTCGTTTTAGAAATTGTTCATACGTAGAGCATGCTCTTGCGTATCTAATCAACTGAGATATATAATCTCTGTACATGATGAAGGTATATTGCTGCATTAGTAAAGGAAGTTGACGATAGAAAAGTAAAAGTCATCACGTTTATCATATAGCTTGGTTGTTAGATTACCATTAACATCTTTTTCAAGTTAAATATTCAAGTATAAAAAGAGGTGTCAGACTCTGTGTACTATCTTCTTTGTTATTATATAAGGGCCTTTCCATTTACGTGTCAACTTGTTTCACTCTCCTATTTGACGCATTATACAGTCAGACTGGTTCTCCTTCCTCAAACTTCCTAACTTGGGCCTTTGTGTCATTTTTTTGCTAATCTGTATTTTGTTTTCAGGCAAAGTTGTGAATGCTTGACAGATTACCTTTTAGCTTCTGAACATAATCATCTGCATCACAGAATTCTTCCTCACTAGAATCATTTGGCCTTGGAATGATGGCTTCCATTCACTCTAGTGCCGGTGTATCAATTCCTAGAAATGTGCACATTTGTCGTTGACGATCACATTAGTGCCCCGCCTCCTTTATACCTTGTCCCTGTACGGTAGACACCACCGACCAAACTCCATCTTCGCTAGCCAAGGGTTTCTGATACGCTACTCTCCTCATAAACCCTTGGCATACGGTGTTCATAAAAGTTGGGTTAATTTTCTCTCGATCGGTCGACCAATCAGCAATTGTTTTTTGTAAATGACGACATTTGCGTTCGGGATACTTCTTGACTCTTTAATCTCGGTAATGAAAAACGCAAGTAAACAACAATCCGTAAGATAACATGCAATTCTATGAATAGCTATTGTGTCATCCAATATCTTCTAAATATGTAATTAAGAATCTATATTGAAGCTTCCGATTTGTATTATAAACAATAAATAAACATAACTCAATTATTGCTTCCTAAATATTCTTGAAAAAAAAATTGGATTTAATTTTTTAGCTCTACTGGTCAGAGACCAGAAGAGCTTATGCGATAGTAATGCGTCCGTCGTCCGTCCGTCTGTCTGTCCGTTTGTCTGTCTGTAATCAATCTTTCAAAATGCTACTCCTCCTATAGTTTTGGTCTGATTTCAATATAACTTGGCACACAAGTAGACTACACTAAGATACATAATTCTATGTATCGATTTTTGATTTTGATTAACGGTGTTGCCGTTGTTACTAAAAATAGAAATTTCTGTGAAATTCTTTCAAAATGCTACTTCTCCTACAGTTTTGGTCTGATTTCAATATAACTTGGCACATAAGTAGACTACACTAAGATACATAATTCTGTGTATCGGTTTTTGATTTCGATGAACGGTGTTGCCGTGGTTACTAAAAATAGAAATTTCTGTGAAATTCTTTCAAAATACTACTCCTTCTACATTTTTGGTCTGATTTCAATATAACTTGGCACATAAGTAGACTACACTTGGTTTTTGATTTCGATGAACGGTGTACTGTGGCTACTAAAAATAGAAATTTCTGTGAAATTCTTTCAAAATACTACTCCTTCTACATTTTTGGTCTGATTTCAATATAACTTAGCACACAAGTAGACTACACTAAGATACATAATTCTGTATATCGATTTTTGATTTCGATGAACGGTGTTGCCGTTGTTGCTAAAAATAGAAATTTCTGTGAAATTGTTTCAAAATGCTACTCCTCCTACAGTTTTGGTCTGATTTCAATATAACTTGGCACACAAGTAGACTACACTAAGATACATAATTCTATATATCAATTTTTGATTTCGATGAACGGTGTTGCCGTTGTTACTAAAAATAGAAATTTCTATGAAATTCTTTCAAAATGCTACTCCTCCTACAGTTTTGGTCTGATTTCAATATAACTTGGCATACAAGTAGACTACACTAAGATACATAATTCTGTTTATCAATTTTTGATTTCGATGAACGGTGTTTCCTTGTTACTAAAAATAGAAATTTCTGTGAAATTCTTTCGAAATGCTACTCCTCCTACAGTTTTGGTCTGATTTCAATATAACTTGGCACACAAGTAGACAACACTAAGATACGTAATTCTGCATATTGGTTTTTGATTTCGATGAACGGTGTTGCCATGGTAACTAAAAATAGAAATTTCTGTTAAAAAATCTCAAAATGCTACTCCTCCTGCAGTTTAAGTCTGATTATAATATAATGTGGCATGCAAGTAGACTATACTAAGAACATAAAGAGACTTAATCAAGGATCATTATTCTTTTTATTGCTGTGGTAAAGTTTTAATTCCCAACTTCTTAAGAACTTTTCTCTTCCTTTGCTATAAGTACAAACCAGTAGAGCTTCAGTCTTTACAGAGACTTCCACTTACTTAAAGACATCTCACTTTTTTTGGTCAAATATATAATGTTATAACAATACAGTCATAAAACCAAAAATAATTAAGACATATCACCTGTTCCCCTACTGTTGCCAAGAGATCCATTCCTATGTGCTTGTATTTTCTGAGCCCCTTTCCTAAACTTGATGGATAAAGCCCGCTTCAACTGCAACCAGCATTTTTGGGGAAAGTCTTTATTTCTGTCGATGACGCAATCTGTGCATTCCTGATTTGATTCGCGATCACGTGACGAAAACAATCCCGTCTTTTGACTTCACCGTATGCCAAGGGTTTCTGTATGCCAAGGGTTTCTGAGGAGAGTAGCATATCAGAAACCCTTGGCTAGCGAAGATGACCAAACTCGTGTATTACACCTGATGTTGTTATTGCCATGTTAATGAATTATTTTTACATTTGAGAAACTCTCGTTCTGTTTATAAAATTAACTGAAGTTAACCAGGATTGAAGTGGTACCACCCTTCTTGTGCGTGTACATTATGATGTTATATTTTGCAACCGCATTTATGAAAGGCAATCCGTTGTGAGCTTACATTATCTATCAACTGGAGATAGCTCAAAATATTGAGTGGACAGCGGTGCAAAACAACATGCCCACTTTATCAAGGAAGGTGGATAGTGAAACTGATGCTAGACACCTTCTTTTTCTAAATGAATTCTAAAAGATAATTTATCAATTGGTAATATTTATGATTAAGAACGATTTATTCATCCAAACGTATGCGTCAAATGCTATAAACGACAAACCAAAAGTGCTTGACCAGAGACTGAGTTTTATAAACAACAATGTAACATTTTTTTGCATAAGAATATACAGACATTTGTTCAAAAATACAAACGAGGAAAATAACAACAATCAGAAAGCCATTTTTTGTTTACCGAAAGTTCTTTTATTAATTGGAGAATTAAGATTGTATTAAAGTCACATACTAAAATTTCTGCAATTATAGCAATGTCACTATAATAAATGATTACTTACTTACTTACTTACTTATTATAGCAATCTTTGAAAATCAATCGGAATACATTTATTTCATTAACACACAATATCTCTTCGATTTTTTAACTTAGGGCAGCAATAAATAAATTGTCATCCTCGAGCAGAAAACATTCCGTCAGCTGCAGAAGAGATGACACTCCATGCGAAATCGACATCCTTTTCCTTTGCATTTTCGGCGCAGACGACGTATCGGATGACAGAACGACCATTGACAGAAGCTTCCGTCAGGTGTAAGTTACCGGATTCATTTATATTTCGCAGAAGTGTAGAAGTAAGCCTGCTGGGTCCCTGAAAAATATTCATCATGTTTAACTAAGAACCCTCAGAAAGACATCCTAACATGGTCCATCCGAATTGCAGTATTCCAGATCAAATTGAAAAAAGGTTTTATTTTTAAAACTTTACAGATCTGGCAAAGAAAGAGAATTAGGTCAAAGTATTTCTTGGATATACACCAGTTAACCTTGATTTGATCCTGGGTAGTGTAAACATTTGACTCTAAAAATATTTTTGAGTGTTTTAAATTTTTTTCCGCATTTTTATATCGAAATATGATTTATTCTTCAAGCATTACAACCAAAGCTCAACATCAGGTTTTACCCGGTATAATTAAACAAGGAATCGTCCAATAAAGTAAAATTTTGTGCTTATGTCAAGAATTCTGTTGATTATGCGGAGATATCAGCCGTTTTACGGAAATCTTATGGTTTTATCAAAAATATGCATAATTTTTCCTCCACCAACCCTTAATGATTTATGTGTATTTTTTGGTTCTTTGTAGCTTTGAAAGTATTCCAAAAATATTTGGTTTCATACGAAGAAAATTGCCGTTAATTGTGTACGACAAATCCTACTTTACTTGGGTTAAGTATTAAAATGAGATATAAGAATTAAACAAATTATGCCATCCGTTTCCTTTTTTCGAGTCGCCCGCGTGGCGCAGTGGTTAGAATGTCTGCTCAAGAGTAGCAAAGTAAGGAGTTGATCCTTATGTCGCGGGTTCGAATCCCACTGTGGGACGTGGAGACCGATGCTTCGGATGAGACCGTATAAACCGAGGTCCCGTGTCGCAGTAGGTGTTGGCACGAAAAAGATCCCTCCCTGCTCAATGGCCCTGAGTGCCGAGCATAGGACAAAATTTTCAGCTCTCCACCAGCAAGTGGTGGTGTCTCCATGAGTGAAAAATTCTCGAGAGGGACTTTAAACAATATACAATCAATCAATCAATCGAGGATACAAAAGTCAAAATAACAACTTGTAATCGAAGGTCAAGGGTATTAGTATTTAGCATCAAACAAGGTGTAGATCGCTAACAGGATACCTTAATACAGAATGCCACTAATCCCAGATTTGACTGTCCAACTATTTCGAACGCATGGTTGCTTTCAATATGGTCTTTCATCCTCTTGGCTAGTTTGATATGCTGAAAAGGAAACTGGTGTGAAATTCTTGTGCTAAGTATATTATCTACAGAATTATGAAATAAACACCAAATCGCTGTTTACCCTCCTAATAAACTCTTGTAATCCACTGATTCCATACAAACGCAGGACAAACCACAGTTTGAGAGCTCGGAATGGTCTTGTGATTCCAATGCCCCAGTTCTGAAATTTCAAAACGAATGTCATAACTCCAGCTTTTCACAATAACAAAATTCCGATGACTGAATTCAAATATAATTTAAGAATAAGGCTAATGGGCATACGTACGGTCCAAAAAGTCCACCTCTCTCCCAATGGAAAGAAGCAAAAAAAAAAAATTCTCTTAATGTCCTTTCAACATTCATGATTAAAATAAATGCCACGTACAAGTTATCTACATAAATGAGACATATGAAATTTTATGCAGGGCATGACTTGGTCGTATTATTTTTATATCCCTGTATATCCCTAAGACTCTATGTTGCCGTTTCATTTTGTTGTATGGGTGTGATATAAATAACATTTATAATTGTAACGATTTTAGATATGAATATTCTAATATACATCTTGCACTATTATATACATGCAGTTTATACTGAGTACTGAAAGCCATGGTCTTGATAATGTGAAATTGGATTTCTATTTTGTCCCCTGTTCCAAGATCGTTCAAATTGATTCTAAAGGAGATAAATTTTTACACGTGTATAACGTATATTATTCTCGTGTTTTTACGATATTGTTTACCAAATTATACAGTTAAAATTGATTAAGAAACGAAACGACGATTGACGAGCTTCAGTCAAAAATTAACTGATGGAGACTGCAGTTCAATTAAATGTAATCAATTAAAATAATTTTATTTCTTTCCAAGTATAAGAATAAACGCACGATCAAAAATTCTTGTAAAAGAAGTTGTCTTTTATAAATCCAAACGCCAAAATATAAATAAAATTATAAATGTAGTAACATATAAGAGAGTTGTGTTGACTTTTAGTGAGATATGTTGTTAAATAGAAACTATGTAATACAATACATACTCGGAAGTCAGTTGTTTCAGCTATAATATAGAAATGGAAATGTTAGGATATACAAGTAACAGCTTTTCAAAAAGCTTGCCTGACTAATGCCATCAATATCTATAGAACCTATAAGCATGATAAGTTATAAACGTTTACATTGGGGGAGGGGGTTGGGAGTGTTAAATTATTTCACTAGAGTAAGTTATGAAGATGTTGCACAAAACATCATGCATTCATTTTAAGTTGTATGATACTCATCAGACAATGGAAAAAGAACATATTTTATATGAAACGTATGTATATTGTTTGTATCTCAAATAAAAAATGAAATCATGTACATGTCCCGCTCTAGATTTGGACCCGCGACGTAAAGATCCGCGAGTTTAAATCAAAGCACTCAGAAGGACAGAGAGCCGGGCTCATTTACAGAGTAGAATGGATTTCTTACATGAATCACGTTTATATTCTGATGAAAAAATTATTTTAAAACTATCAATATAAATGATAAGACACTGACAGTGAGTTTTTCAATCCTAATACCACGGTCCGATTTTGTCAGAATCAGAATTAATCTGGTACCGCAGCTGAATGTAAATAAACAGGCCAGTCTGGTTTCCTCTCCTGCTTTACCTCGTATGTGTAGAGAACTACGGTAACACTGATTATCAAAAATCCTTACGCTAATGAACTATGTCATTACTACAAATGTTTATTTTATATAGATAAAACTTCGTTTTATTTTTGTTGCCTTATTTAGCGTTTCTATTATCTCAAAAGCGGTTGAGAGTAAGAACTATATTTTTGCACGTAACTTTAAAATGGCGACTATTGGGTTAACATCCTGCCTTGAACAGGATCACATAAGCCGGCAATTGCTCTTTGAGCAATAAGCCAGGCTTAAAATGGTTTCAGAGGATGAAGTAAACAAGGGAAAAACTAATGTAATTGATTAATGCTCGAAAGCATGGCTATATGTAAAGGTTACATAAATTAGATTCAGCTGCATACAGCATAGGTTTTGAGGAAGACAGCTGAAAATATAACTACGTGTATATGAAATTGGGAATCGTAACGGTTATGACTGACATGCAGAATATGTTTACTTGTTTGTTGGGTATGCCAGAGCATCAAAGATTGTTGTTGGGATAAATAAAGCCCAATATGCTTAAATGACCCAGCAAACTTGACGGCGATATATGAATGGCTACAGTTTTCCCCAGGGATGAGGGGTTCACAAAAATATTTGTACGAGCAAAAAAAGTAATAAACTTTCTCAATCCTGAAATGTGAGAGGACACTTTCATAAGTATATACTCTGTTTTTGTAGGAGGAAACCCGCTGGAGGGTGTGGGTATGATCAGATGTATATTTGGCCAGTACGTCCTCTTTAGAGTTTTTTGTTCGTTTCGTTTTTATTAGGTCACCTGAGTAACTCAGGTGACCTATTGCTATCCGTTTTCGTCCGTCGTCGTGCGTCGTGTGTTAACATTTGAACATTTTCAGCTTCTTCTCTGAAACCACTGAACCAATTTCAACCAAATTTGGTATACAGCATCTATCAGTGAAGAGCAACAAAAATTGTGAATTTCATGGTCCCCGCCCCCCTGGGGACTGAGGGGATGGGCCAAAACCACTAAAATTATTGCAATCTTTAAAAATCTTCTTCATTACTCCTGGACATCAAGCAGTCAAACTGTTGGCATGAATGTTATGAGCATCGCGTCTTCTACCAAAATTGTGAGATTCATGGCCCCAGGGTCAGGGGTTCTAGTGCTAGGGTGGGGCTATATAGATTTTATAGTGAAAATGTATTATTTCTTTGAAAATTTTCTTCTCTGCTCCTGGGTATTAAATAAACTAAGTACATAGTTATGATGAGCAAGAGTGCCTCTTCCAGATTTGTGAATTTTATGGCCCCAGGGTCATGGGTTCTGGTGTTAGGGTGGGGCTTTATTGATTATATAGTGAAAATGCATTTATTCTTTGAAAATCTTCTCTCCTTCTGAGTATTAAATAAACTAATTAAGCACATAGTTATGATAAGCAACAGTGCCTTTTCCGAAATTGTGAATTTTATGGCCCCAGGGTCAGGGGTTCTGGTGTTGGGGCGGGGCTTTATTGATTATACAGTGAAAATGCATTTATTTCTTTGAAAATCTTCTTCTCTGCGTCTGGGTATTAAATACACTAACCAAGTACAAAGTTATGATGAGCAAGAGTGCCTTCTATAAAATTGTGAATTTTATGGTCCCAGGGTCAGGGGTTCTAGTGCTAGGGCGGGGCTATATAGATTATATAGTGAAAATGCATTCTTTCTTTGAAAATCTTCTTCTCTGCTCCTGGGTATTAAATAAACTAAGTAAGTACATAGTTATGATGGGCAAGAGTGCCTCTTCCAGATTTGTGAATTTTATGGCCCGAGGGTCAGGGGTTCTGGTGTTAGGGCGGGGCTCTATTGATTATATAGTGAAAATGCATTATTCTTTGAAAATCTTCTTCTCTGCTTCTGGGTATTAAATACACTAACCAAGTACATAGTAATGATGAGGAAGAGTGCCTCCTATAAAATCGTGAATTTTATGGCCCCAGGGTTTGGGGTTCTGGTGTTAGGGCGGGACTCTATTGATTATATAGTGAAAATGCATTATTCTTTGAAAATCTTCTTCTCTGCTTCTGGGTATTTAATAAACTAACTAAGTATATAGTTATGATGAGCAAGAGTGCCTCTTCCAGAATTGTGAATTTCATGGCCCCTGGGTGTTAGAGGTTCTGGTGTTAGGGCGGGGCTCTATTGATTATATAGTAAAAATACATTAATTTTTTGAAAATATTTTCCTTTGCTTCTGGGTTTTATGCCAATGATCCAAGTATATATATTTATGATGAAAAAAGGTGCATCTAGCAAAGTGGTTTTTTAATGCCCCCTGGGTCAGGGGGGTGGGGGGGTACATAGTCTGAAAATAAATTAATGCTTTGAAATCTGCTCTTTGGTATTAATCTACTATTTTATGATAAAATTTGCAAAATTTTGAAATATGTGGCCCCTGGATCAGTGGTTCCTTTGGGGTGAGGTGCACAACTGGGTATAAAGTGGAAGTGCATTTTCTCTTCGTTACTCTGATCTACCTCTGGGTATTAAGTAAATAGAGTAAGCATGCTAAGTTAATAATTATGATAAGCATTGTTGCCTCTTTCAAAATTGTGAATTGTGAATTTCATGGCCTCTGATTTAAAACACGAACCAAATTTAATTGTTTGAAAGTTGTTACACAATACTCAGGTGACCTATAAGGCCCATGGGCCTCTTGTTACTTTAAATCATGTAACTTCTAACTCACTTCACAATATCACCGATATAGATTTTTTTCCAAAGCTCGACCAGGCGACAAAAAAGAACATACATTATATAATTCATGCAGTTTTCATTTCGATTCAATAGAAAAGTCCAGGAAAAGGTCGCAAAATCTTAAACATGACATTTTGGCGCGAAATGTTTGTGTCACCCCTTACCTAGAAGACAAATGGACTGATTCAGTAGTATAGAAACGCAGGAAAAAAGGTCAAACGGACATGTCCGTATAATAACTCGCTTTAAATAAATAACTGCTAGCAAAAAGCTAAATTAAATAAATACATCAATGTATTGTATCAGCAATATGGTTATTTTTCTGCTAACTGTTGTTGCTGAAACGCATGTAACAAAATCCGATGATAATCAGCATGCACAAAATTTTGCTGGCTAACTGTGACCTCTTAGCTTCGCACCTAGGAAATATTGATCCTTAGTAGTGCCTGACGTCGTGACGTCAGGCAATCAGATCAGATGTGAAATTTAAAAGTTTTTTTTTTTCGGTTATCCTCAATACTAGGTGCTGCTTGTTAGTTTGAAAAAAATTGTGATGAACGCAATCAGAGAGCAAAAGTAATACCCAATGAAAAAAAAGTTAAATTTTAATGGTATGTCGAACGTTGCAATATTCGATCTTTTCCATTTGTATTGTATAATTTTTAGCTCTACTGGTCAGAGACCAGAAGAGCTTATGCGATAGCAATGCGTCCGGCGTCCGTCCGTCTGTCTGTCCGTCTGTCTTTAAACAATTTTTCAAAATGCTACTCCTCCTACAGTTTTGCTCTGATTTCAATATAACTTGGCACACAAGTAGATTACACTAAGATACATGATTCTGTGTATCGGTTTTTGATTTCGGTAAACGGTGTTGCCGTGGTTACTAAAAATAGAAATTTCTGTGAAATTCTTTCAAAATGCCACTTCTCCCACAGTTTTGGTCTGATTTCAATATAACTTGGCACACAAGTAGACTTTACTAAGATACATAATTTTGTTTATTAGTTTTTGATTTCGATAAACGGTGTTTCCGTGGTAACTAAAAATTGAAATTTCTGTGAAATTTCTTTCATACTGATACTCCTCCTACAGTTTTGTCTGATTTCAATATAACTTGGCACACAAGTAGACTACACTAAGAAACATAATTCTGTGTATCGGTTTTTGATTTCGATGAACGGTGTTGTCGTGGTTACTAAAAATAGAAATTTCTGTGAAATTCTTTCAAAATGCTACTCCTCCTACAGTTTTAGGCTGATTACAATATAACTTGGCATACAAGTAGACTACACTAAGATACACAATTCTGTGTATCGGTTTTTGATTTCGATGAACGGTGTTGCCGTGGTTACTAAAAATAGAAATTTCTGTAAAATTGTTTCAAAATGCTACTCCTCCTACAGTTTTGGTCTGATTTCAATATAACTTGGCACACAAGTAGACTACACTAAGATCCATAATTGTGTATATCGGTTTTTGATTTCCATGAATGATGTTGCCGTGGTTACTAAAAATAAAAATGTCTATAAAATTGTTTCAAAATGCTACTCCTCCTACAGTTTTGGTCTGATTTCAATATAACTTGGCACACAAGTAGACTACACTAAGAACATAAAGAGACATTATCAAGGATCATTATTCTATTTATTGCTGTTGTAAAATTTCAATTCCCAATTGCTTAAGTACTTTTCTCTTCCTTTGCTATAAGTACAAACCAGTAGAGCTTCAGTCTCGACAGAGACTTCTGGTTATTTGTATTCTAATATTTTCCATTTGTATTGTATAAATTTTCATTTATTTTGTATAATTTTATTTACATTTTACAATTTTCTATTTGCATTCTATAATGTTCCGTTTGAATTGTATTTTTTAAATTTGTATTCTATATTTTCCATTTTTATTTTTAAAAAGTCATTTAAATTGTATATTTTTAGCTCTACTGGTCAGAGACCAGAAGAGCTTATGCGACAGTAATGCGTCCGTCGTCCGTCCGTCTGTCTGTCTGTCTGTAAACAATTTTTCAAAATGCTACTCCTCCTACAGTTTTGGTCCAATTTCAATATAACTTGGCACACAAGTAGACTACACTAAGATACATAATTCTGTGTATCGGTTTTTGATTTCGATGAACGGTGTTGCCGTGGTTACTAAAAATAGAAATTTCTGTGAAATTCTTTCAAAATGCTACTCCTCCTACAGTTTTAGTCTGATTTCAATATAACTTGGCACACAAGTAGACTACACTAAGATACATAATTCTGTGTATCAGTTTTGATTTCGATGAACGGTGTTGCCGTGGTTACTAAAAATAGAAATTTCTGTGAAATTCTTTCAAAATGCTACTCCTCCTACAGTTTTAGTCTGATTACAATATAACTTGGCATACAAGTAGACTACACTAAGATACACAATTCTGTGTATCGGTTTTTGATTTCGATGAACGGTGTTGCCGTGGTTACTAAAAATAGAAATTTCTGTGAAATTCTTTTAAAATGCTACTCCTTCTACAGTTTTAGTCTGATTTCAATATAACTTGGCACACAAGTAGACTACACTAAGATACATAATTCTGTGTATCAGTTTTTGATTTCGATGAACGGTGTTGCCGTGGTTACTAAAAATAGAAATTTCTGTGAAATTCTTTCAAAATGCTACTCCTCCTACAGTTTTAGTCTGATTTCAATATAACTTGGCACACAAGTAGACTACACTAAGATATACAATTCTGTGTATCGGTTTTTGATTTCGATGAACGGTGTTGCCGTGGTTACTAAAAATAGAAATTTCTGTGAAATTCTTTCAAAATGCTACTCCTTCTACAGTTTTAGTCTGATTTCAATATAACTTGGCACACAAGTAGACTACAATAAGATACATAATTCAGTGTATCAGTTTTTGATTTCGATGAACGGTGTTGCCATGGTTACTAAAAAAGAAATTTCTGTGAAATTCTTTCAAAATGCTACTCCTTCTACAGTTTTAGTCTGATTTCAATATAACTTGGCACACAAGTAGACTACACTAAGATACATAATTCTGTATATTGGTTTTTGATTTCGATGAACGGTGATGCCGTGGTTACTAAAAATAGAAATTTCTGTGAAATTCTTTCAAAATGCTACTTCTCCTATACTTTTGTCTGATTTCAATATAACTTGGCACACAAGTAGACTACACTAAGATACATAATTCTGTTTACTGGTTTTTGATTTCGATGAACGGTGTTGCCGTGGTTACTAAAAATAGAAATTTCTGTGAAATTCTTTCAAAATGCTACTCCTCCTACAGTTTTAGTCTGATTTCAATATAACTTGGCACACAAGTAGACTACACTAAGATACACAATTCTACTATCGGTTTTTGATTTCGATGAACGGTGTTGCCGTGGTTACTAAAAATAGAAATTTCTGTGAAATTCTTTCAAAATGCTACTCCTCCTACAGTTTTAGTCTGATTTCAATATAACTTGGCACACAAGTAGACTACACTAAGATACACAATTCTACTATCGGTTTTTGATTTCGATGAACGGTGTTGCCGTGGTTACTAAAAATAGAAATTTCTGTGAAATTCTTTCAAAATGCTACTCCTTCTACAGTTTTAGTCTGATTTCAGTATATAACTTGGCACACAAGTAGACTACAGTAAGATACATAATTCTGTGTAGCTGTTTTTGATTTCGATGAACGGTGTTGCCGTGGTTACTAATAATAGAAATTTCTGTGAAATTCTTTCAAAATGCTACTCCAAATACAATTTTAGTCTGATTATAATATAAATGTTGCATGCAAGTAGACTGCACTAAGAACATAAAGAGACTTAATCAAGGATAATTATTCTATTTATCTGTTGAAAAGTTTCAATTTCCAACTGCTTAAGTACTTTTCTCTTCCTTTGCTATAAGTACAAACCAGTAGAGCTTCAGTCTCGACAGAGACTTCTGGTTTTCATTTGCATTCTATATTTTCCGTTTGCATTGTATAATTTATTTTGTATTGTAAAATTTCTTATTTGTGTCCTTAAAATTTCTTATTTGTAACTGTAGCCGATGATTCTTTATTTCGTGAAACATGCCATAACAGTTAAGAAAGCTCTGCTTTCAGATAAGTTTGCATGTCTATGGAAACCCTTTCGTTCGAAGGGGGTCACCTGTGATTATTAGAGATATAAAATTGTTTATAAACAGTGAATAAAACATATCAATAAAGTGTTTTGATGATATTTCTTAAGAATCTCAAAATTCATCCATTAATCATATTTTTTTACTTAAATAAAAATATTCACAAATTACATCTCTCTTGAACTTGTCTTACCTTGATGTTTATGTTGTAGATATGTGGCACTCGCACCGAGGCAATCAGTTAGAGGTTTTTTGTTCTTCAGCCTTGCAAAAGTAACATTTATAGTTCAGCATAAATGTAAAATTCTTTACCTTAAGGGAATAGACTGAATTCGAATTTTCTCTTAATTCTTGGCATTTTGATTAGCGATGTACATACAATACAAAGGTTGTCAAATTTTCTCTCTTTAATTATCAAATGTAGTATTGTTTATTGCCGCTTCAAAAATTGTTCAAATAATGGAATATGCTCTGTCCGACTGAATTGTGATGTAGAAAGTATAATGACATAACGCATCATTGAAACAGTGATACGCACGGTAAGACAGAATCCACATATATGAATACACTCTACAGTGATATATACTATATAGGATGCAACTATATGATAAATGATCTCAAGTCTGCGTGTGCAAAAAAAAAAAAACAATTGTGAAACAAATATTTCAGATACTAGTATTCCCCATTTTCAAAAGTGAGTTATCTCCCCTCAAAATCGGAACTCTTCTACACTAGCCTAACTTCCGCGGACTACACATTACGATAATCCAACAAAATAGTGATCAACTTACACGCTGTATTTAAAAATTTTAAAAGAAGGAAACGGTTTGCATTTTTTTTAGATAATGAATTATTTTATAAAAGGTCTGTTAGCCCCCCCCCCTTTCTAGAAAGCTATACGAATTAGCCAGACACGAAGCATCGTCTTTAAAAGTGGGAGGGGGGGTAGCCAAAGAAATATTTTTTTTCTTACCTTGAAAAGTTGACAAGCAAAGAAAAACCTTGCCCAAAGTTGAAAAAGCTACTTATTTCAGTACCAGTTCCTTGGCATACAATACTACATTTCTCTTATATAACTTTACCGTAGTATTAACTGTGTGTGTGTGGGGGGTTTGGCAACCTGTCTATCAATGAATATTTTCAATAGAAAAGGTAATATTGGGTAAAAAGTGGGGGTGGGGCTAAGCTCCTTGACCCCCCCCCCCCGTGCGTACAGGTACATAGAACGAATAATTATGTAAATGGGTTGAACAGTTGAATATAAACCATAGTTGTGAAATTTGAAAATTATTAGAATTACTATAATTGTGATTTCAGTAAAGTACATGTATGTCAGTTACAGGGTTACATGAGTCTCTCTCTCTCTCTCTCTCTCTCTCTCTCTCATATTGTTTTTTACACACTTTGCAAACTTATAAAAAAAAAATTACATGTACTTACACTGAAAGGATTTTTAAAAAATAAATAACAGTTGAGAAAAGAATGTTTTCCGTTAATTAACGAGAAATACGCTAGGAAATTATTGTATCAATTTCGTGGTTCTGCTCTCAATTCTCTGATCTAAAACAAAATGTGTATTTTACTCGGGAATATACATGTACATATGCTTAGATCCTACACTAAAACTTTGATTAAATGCAGCTCAGACTTTATACGACTTATGTAACACGAATTCAGGTCAATGCCATTTTAATTAGTCTTTCTTCGTTACATGAGGACATGAGATTAGATTATTCATTTAGAATTCTATTCAAAGTTTTAATACTACATATGGTGAATCAATTATTTTACAAATAAAAAATTCTAGAAACACTGTTAATTCAAATGAAATAGGCCTTTAATTGTCACCAAATGTGTTCTTGTAAAAGTAAAAGTTCTATGATGTGACATACAATCGAGCAAAAACGCAGTTTCTTGGTATCGGTCGCGGAAGACGAAGTACTGCTGTATATGCAGCAATTTCAGAGGTAATCATCAGTCTCCAAAAAATTCCTAGAGATACAGAGAAATATGGCTGCAGCAGGCTAGATTAATTCTTAAAACAGAGACGTATAATAGAAAAAAAAACTTTATAACTAAAAATTTGTTCCGCACATTTTGTAAATAATGATGATCCGTCTGCAGAATATCCACTACCGAAAATTAGCTTATTAGCTTTTTTTTAATAGGCCTATTCGAATACGTATCAGCATTTTATCAGTAATTTGTTTCTTTCTTTTTTTTTGTAAGGAGGAGGGGGGGGGGCACACAGCACCTTATTATAGTACTACACAGATTAATACAAATCCAGAAAGAGACTATGAGTGGGCAATTTAAAAAAAAATACGAATCAGTTAAGATTTCTTTTTATTCGCAAGCACAATAACATTTTTCCATATGACAGATGCATTACACCATAAACATGTTTACATCAAGAACGTCCGCGGAAGTGACTTTATTTATAGCGCATGCGTATTAAACACAGTAAAAGAGTTCCCTTCAGGGGAAATAACTCACCTTTTGAAAATGGGGAATATGTTCCTTTTTATCATTACATAATGTATATTAATCAACATATTATCATACCCTGTATGTCACCCTTCATGTCACTGCAGCAGGGGTCTTACTATCATATTGAGCAGAAGCAGAAAGTCGGTACAAGTCAAAAAGAAGAATCAGAGACATATAATATTTTGTCTCTGGAAGAATATATATCATTATCAAATCAATGAATTGTATGAGTGCATGATTAATGTCAGTGAGGTGCTATAAGAAATACTTCTAACGAGTTCTTTTTATAAACAACACCCCATCCTACTTATTTACAAAAACAGAAACTATGAAAGTCTACATTTTCAAAGATCCAATTAAAAATACAGTCTTTGCTCCTAAATTTTCATTACCCATCCCTCTTTTATTTAATCCATTGTAAAATAAGGTATCAAGATTAACATATGAGCTTTAATGTATTGACTTTTTATTCACCTTTAGAATTTTTTTTAAAGAATAATCATCACTGTATTTTTAAAAGTTTAAGTAAACGAAATCAAGCTGTTGGAACAAAAGTCTTAAAAAGCTGAATAGCAACAGTAATAACTTTAAAAAGAACAGTACACTTTTAGACTTAAGAAAAGTACATAAATGAGAGGTTGATGGGTTAAATATGGCATGACTTTCTCTGTACCCGGATGCAGTTATTTACCAAAGTACAGCACATTCTGTTGTAGTCAGCAACCATTTGTGTGGATTAAAAGAAATGGAGGAAATTTTCTGCAAATTATCGTAATAATATAATTTTTGTTCTAGAATGTCTGGCGTTTTTAACAGATTCTAATACAAATAAAGTATGTCAAAGTATTTGCACGAAAACATTTGAAATAAAAGAGAAGTAGCAAAAATAGAAACATCTAAATAAGGATTATGTAAAATTGCATACAAGTATTAATCAATATTTTAACCACCCTTCAAAAAAAAGTAATTAAACAAGTTTTACCTCTTTGCCATCAATGAGGTAGTGGAATTCTGGGCAAACTAACGCACAACCGGCATACGCAGCATCAACGTGCAGCCAAAGGTTCTCCTTGTTACACACCTCCGACAGCTCAGAAATGTCATCAAAAGAACAACAAGAGGTGGTGCCCACCGTGGCACAGACCTGAAAAATACACAATGCATCTCTTTCTTTCTCCCTGTGTTGAATATGTCTCATTTTAAATCAATGACCTCCTTTATAGATAGAGAAAATTATAATCGATACTAGTACTTCAAATTAAAAAAGGTAAAGCTCATAAACAACAATTGATCTCATAAACATGGAGAATATATGAAATCAATGAGATTTTAATGCGAAAAAAAGAGAGAATTTTGTCACCGATACTTCGAAAAGTGTATTTAAATAATGATCAAACAATAATAAAAAAAAACATAAGTCATCTTTTAATACTTCATTCTAATGATAGATTGTATTTGCTGACAAGGTCATTGTATCGACCATAGAACTTCCAACTGAGACTTTAAACGAGGTATTGATATTCTTATTTCATCAACATGTTTGTCAATAGCTTGCCCCATTTTATATATTCTTCGTACTTAGAAACGTTACGCAATTAAGAATCAAACTAAAGAGACAAACGCCATATGCAGGTGATAAGGGAATATTGCTACACAAGTAAGGGAAGTTGACGAATAAGAAGAAATAAAGTCATCAGGTTTATCATAAAGGTTTGTAGTTAGGTTAAAATTCATTGAGCGTCTTTTTGTAGAGACAAATATGAAGCAGACATATTGAATTCCGAGTTTTGTTTTGTTTAAAGCTTACTGGAATATATAGAGCGAGCCAACATATAAATGGAAGTATTAGCTATTAATTGATAATACGTCATCGATATTATGAATGTTGAGTTGAAGGTCATGGCAAATTTATTGTTGTCATGCACAAGGTTTGAATATGAAAATACAACTGAATATACTTTGAAAGTTCTCATTATGTAGTGCCTGAAAGTAAAAATATGAAGCAAACGAAGAAATAAAAAAAATCGACACTTACAAAAAAGGGATGGAGTCCATTTGATTTGTCTGCCTGAAAATAGTAAGGCGATTGTAAATCTGTAGGCTACAGATTAATTTGTAACTGATCTTGTAAAAGATTAGGTTGGATAACCAGAGATGTACAAAGCCATCATTGAAAAAAATGTGTATACTGTGCAAAAAAGCGAGCGTTTTTCAATTCATCTCTTTACTATAGAATATCTAGGAAGAAATTAATCTAGAAACGTGCGCATATATTTTGCACATTAAATATACACTTTTTAGGTGGTAGCTCTGTGATCCTGTTCGTCCATCCAATTTTTTCACATCAGCGAGCTCATATCTGGATTCATAAGTAACTGCTTAGAGTCCTTGGAAGAACAATTTCCGTTTGCGGATTAGTTACTGCCTTTAATTCTTCATCATCTTTTGCAAATAATGGTTTAATTTCAAGACAAAGTCGCAACATTTTTATTCTCTTTAAAATCTGTAGTTATATGTAGTTTATCTGCATCTCAGAGAGGATTACTAGTATTTTCCTAAAATTTTATGCTAAACAATTATGTCATTTATCATTTCTGTGATTTAATTTTAGTGTACCATGATGCTTCTTTTCAAAGCTTTTACAGACAAGGAGAGATTTTCATCTACTTCGATCTGTCGTAAAATCACGGACCCCAGTGAACAAGCCTTTTGAACACACACGTTAGCCTGAAATATACAGTATAAGAAAAGTAAGTTAAACAGCAATATTACGGTATTTCTCGATACAAATAGTTCTTGCAACGCAAACCTTAAAGTTTAGAGGTATTGAGTTTATAAAAAAAAAACGTGTCGCAAAGGCACGTTGAAAACTAAATCGATGAGGATTAAATGCATATAAAGCTGAACGTGACAAAATAATTTTTAAAAGAAAAGCAGTCAATAAAATACAAATATACCAAACATGAGGTGTAGGCGACAAGCCGGGGCGCTTCGTCCATTGTGTTAGGTAGGGTGTGACGTTTTGCAGCGGAAAGAGCCAAGAAAATACACTCGCTTCCAGATCCCTATAATGTCATGTTGTATACCTTATAGAGAACTTTTTAAAATAACAAATTTGCAGTAAGGAACCTTAAGAAATTCTAAGCAAGAACTTTATAATGATGAACTTAATCTTTTATACGTAAATATTGTTGGGGGGAAAAGGCAGGAAAAACACTGGTATCCTACTGACCTGAATGGACCCCCCACCCTCTCCTCCCTCGTGTAAAAACTGCTTCGGTAGAGACACGAGTTTACCTGAAATGAAACAACAATGCTCAATATGTATCTATAGGCAACAAATTACATTCCATATGGAAATGATTGACTATACGTCACCTAACCAGTCTGTGACAACCATTTCCAACTCCGTGCACGCGGGACTGATCGCCTGGAATCGAAATATAGTCTATGAAAACACAGGATAGTGGGTAGGAGTTTGGAATGAAGCAAGTGTTGTGATGATATTGTCATTTTGTAAAACTTGAATTTTCTGGATGAACGGACGTTACTTTATATTTACTGCAATAGGGAAATTGTAGAATTCCCTGCATTCCATTTACTTCATAAGAAACTGCTTGCAGTCCTTGCAAAGAATACTTTCCGTTTGCGGATCAATAAATGCTTCTAATTCTTATTCATCTTTTGAGAATAATGGTTTGATTTCAAGACAAAGTCGCAATTTTTAAAATTCTCTTTATGAAAAAAACAATACCAGAATCTGTATTTGCATCAATGTTTTAAAAATAATGAATGTCATATCTGAATATCACTAACTTCTGCTTTAAGGTTAATTGTTACTCTGGTAAGAGAGATAACTCTAATTGACATAAATGTCTATTATTACTTTATAGATTTGCCAAGTTGAAGGGTCTTTTTGTCCAGTTTTTCCCGCGAGCCATGCGCGGATCTAGAGGGGGGTCGGGGGGTCAGGACCCCCCCTGGAATTTTCCCGATTAAAAAATGTATATACTAAAGCATGAGAAAAGTCACCTTGGACCCCCCCCTGGAAAACGCTGACCCCCCCTGGTGAACATGTATATGTGTGAAATTGGTATGAAATTTGAGAGATTTGAGGCAATAGAAGTCATTGACTACCCCCCCCCCCCCCCCCCCCCCCCCCCACGAAATAGGTTTTTCACGTTTGGGCGAATTGACGTTTTTTTTTTTTTTTTTTTTTGCTTGTCAAGAAATTTCTGGGATTGGAATTTTTTTTTGAATGAGGTAGACCCCCCCTGCAAAAAATTTCTGGATCCGCGCCTGCGCGAGCCATGCTATAATTGTTTGTATTTTATTTAAGTTATAAAATACATTTCTTTTGAAAAGTCATTAAGGTTCAAGCAACATTTTTTATGAGTGAGCAGAGGGTTTATGAACCTTGAACAGCGTTAATATAAACCTTTGTATTTCTGCCAACAAAAACAAGATTAAAACAATAAAGACAAGTTGCAACCGCAGAAAATTTGTTTTGAAAATAACAAAGAATGAAAGCCATGCAATACATGAACCTGCATACATTATATTTAATTTAAAAAGGAACCAGAAACATGAGAACTATTTACCCTTTGGGAATATTTTTTTGGACGCTCTGCACATCCAAATTCAGCTCTATGTTAACCACACCTTTAAACAATCCACGGCTTTTTGTATTTAGTACAGTAGATGTGAATGTGTTATGTCCAGACTTACCCAGGATGTGGAGATTCCTGCGATCCCGTCAGACAGCATAGTACCTAGGACTGAAGCGAAGGAGTGACCGAGCGGGAAGTAGGCATTAAAGAGGGGGTGTTGATGATGTAAAATCTGCTCAACAAATATTCAAAACGTTGTACATTTGAAACTAGTAAAAATGGATTATGAAAAAAATAACATTGGTCAATACAATGCTCAACAAGCTCCATCCAAGACCTTTTGATTGATTGATTGATAGATTGTATATTGTTTAACGTCCCTCTCGCGAATTTTTCACTCATATGGAGACGTCACCGTATGCCGGTGAAAGGCTTCAAATTTTTACCTTTACTCGGCACTCAGGGCCATTGAGCAGTGAGGGATCTTTATCGTGCCAACGCCTGCCGCTGACACGGGGCCTCGGTTTTTAAGGTCTCAACCGAAGGATCCGCAACTTTCACTTCAAATTGCCGAGCGCATAGCGAAGGAACAGTTGCTACCCATTTTTTATCGACTTAGGTCAGTCGCGGCCGAGATTTGAACTCACGACCTCCCGATCACGAAGCGAGCGCTCTACCGACTGAACTACCGTGAACGGTCCAAGACCGTCACGAAGACGAAGCCCGATTTCAATGGAAAATATCGTCTACCCCCTTTTTTCAAGAGCTCGAATTAGCACTGGTATTAAAATAATTTAATATAGTAGATCTATGTATTGTTGTATTGTTCTTTGTATCAGACAAAGATTTTATTGCTAGATTACTATAAATATTGAACTAAATCAGTGAAAATTGTAGGTCAAAATCGAGAACTAGTATCCTTGGTTCATTGTCATTTTCTATTGTTTCTTGACCTAGCATCCTATTAAGTATTTCGACACAATTGGATATGCGGTTGTTGGTTTCTATATATTTACTTGTATAGAGGGTTGTTCGAATTGTCCGCGGACGTCATAACTTTTTAGGTCACCTGAGTCACGTATATGAACTAATATTGCTCTCCGTTTTCGTCCATCGTCGTGAGGACGTGTGTCTGAGTCAACTTTTCACATTTTCGACTTCTTCTCAAGAACCACCGGACAAATTTCAACCAAACTTGCCACAAAGGGTCCTTGGTTATAGATAATTCAAGTTTGTTACAAGAAGGGTCAGGCCTTCTTCACAGGGAAAATAATTAAGAACTAGTGAAAAATTATTGGCATCTTTTAAAAATCTTCTTCTCAAGAACGTCAAGGCCAAGAAAGATGAAACATATGGAAACATCCTCTGGGAGTGTAATTTCAAGTTTGTTCAAATCTTTACCCTCGGGGTAGGGTGGGGTCACACTATACAATCAATTTTTTACATACTGCACCCGACCCTAAAGTTTTTATTTAGTTTTTGAGAGAAAATCGAAAATTTCATGTCCAGAAGTGAAAAAAATATACATTCAAGTGGTATTTCATGAAATATATATGTTTTAAATTTGGACTTGCATGAAACACTACTTATTTTAAACGATAATATTGAGCATGTTTAATTTGGTTTGTAATAGTTCATATCCAACAAATACCATTGGAAAAAAATAAAATAAAAAAATAAAATAATTTTCCGACCTACCTACCCTATTTTTTTCAGGCTGGTAGCAGGAAACAAGACTATTATTTTTTTTTTGGCCTAGGAATACGTAAAAAAATATCTAGAGCTAGTGGTCCATAAATGATGAAATTTACATGGAAACATCATCAGGAAGGGAAGATTCAGGTTGGTTCAAATCTTGTACCCCGGGAGGTAAGGTGTGGCAACAATGGACATGTTTTTCATTGAAATACATAGGAAAAATCTTGAAAAATTCTTTTCTCAAGAACAATAAAGCCATGATTGGTTATATTTACATGCAAGCTTCAACAGGTAGTATAGACTTTTTTTCATGGCTTTGGAGATAAGGTGGGGCCACATTGGAGGATCAAAGATTTACATAATTATGAATTCATTCCATGGGAAATTCTTTAACAAGCCTCTTCTAAATAAAACAGCAAGGTAATGAATTGTCTTATTTATATGAAAGCATCCTTTGGTAATGTTAAATAAAATTTGTTCAAATCACGACCCTTTTCGGTAGAGAGGGAACACCGGCTTATTTAAGTTTTAGTTAGGAAAATACTAGTATAGCATCGATCATTTGGAAATCTTGTTCTGAAGAACAACAAAGCCATAATTATCAAGAAATTTAATACAGAACGTCTCCAGGAACTGTAGATCACTAAATTAGGAAATACTAAAATACACGAGAATGAAATTTTCGCGAGCAAACTGTCTTACATAACTACAAGAAAATTAAGTTCTTGTAAATAAAACGTATATTCAACATTGTTCAAATCATGCCGCCTGGGGTATCGTGGGATCATAATGGAAACTACATGTAGAACATAGAGGAAAAAAAATCAATAGGAGAAGGTTATAACTTAAGGTCATACGAGACGTCTCTCGGATACTGAGTATCTGTTTTCTATTTTTTTTTTTTTGCATGTATAAAAAATGTGTAAAATTATAATTACCCTATGATTTCTAAACTGGTTTCTAATTGTCTGTAAAAAATCTGAATGCTAAAATTTTTGCACAGATGTCTGGTAAGGTACCTCAATTTCTTGTGAGTAAACATTTTAAAGTAACAATACTTCAACGACAAAATCTCAGAAAAAATTATATATTATTTAGGAACGTATCGTCTGTCCTTAATTTATTAATTTTCAGTGAAAACTAGGCTTATTACATCGATGATTCTGATATTACTATTTTGTTGCTTTTGTGCAACAAAGGTTCTTATATAAGTCTATGGGTTGTTTTATACTCAGGTAACCGTTTTAAAAGGACACTGGGTCTATTTTTTTAATATTAATGTCATAATATAACCAAAGTTGGTGGACATATTTTTAAGAATAAAATCAAATAATAATCACATTGTTTTTCTAATTATCATGATTTATTTTAAACTTAACAAAATTAAACCCCCAAAAATCGAATCGCAGATCGAGCAGAAACGAAAAAAAATCTAGACGTTTAATTAAGAACTTTAACATCGACTCCCATTTTAATTTTTGGCTTAAAATGTCTTCTTGTGTACTCTTACCCCAGGTAGTATTATTTCCTTAAAGTCCCTCATAAGATCCTCAAAGTTCTCGGGGTCTTTCGGGGCATCTTTGGGTACAGCGTTGATGAGATAACCAGGTTTGACATCCGGGGATACTCGTCTGTTTTCAATAGTTTCCATATAATCTGCAATAAAGTCTACGACTTCCTTGGCCTTGACTCGAAATTCAGCAGCATCCATGACTTCTAGTTGCGTTGTTACAGAACAGTATTCTAGTGTCAGACTCAGTTGGTGACAACTTATGTCACGTGAGTATTTCCTGTTTTGTTTTTTTTTTAAATCCAAAAACTTCAAATCGACCTGTTTCACAAAAAGGTGTGCAAAAAGAATGTTCATGCATGGTTTGGAAATTTTCATAGATGCTGATGCATGGATTTAAAGATAACATTATTATTTTTTAATCAGATGTCTTGTTTTTAGCGTGCAAGTTAGTATAACGATCAAGAATTTCATAACGGAACAAAAACTGTGAACGTGTTGGAGTGTGAACGCGTAACAGTTATTAATATGACAGTATAATGAACACCATTATAAGGTTCAAACCATTGATAGATCTATACTGTAATCGGTTAGGAAAGGATACTTGTTATGTATAAGACATGTTAAACTGAAGCATCATTGGGTGTTCACTAAATGACTTCTTGCATATCAAGGGTTACAATAAATGCATTGTCTATTTATACGAAAAAAAAATGATTTGGCAAAGATTAATGAAAAAAAGCTTTGGAGGCATTGTTTTATATTAACTTTCAAATTCAAAGCATATTGTGATCCCCGCGTTCGGTGCTTAAGTTGAGGCACCTGATGAATGGATGGTGTAACACCCCCCCCCTCCTTTCCAACTTCTAAGAATTTTTATTAGACACAAAAACTTATCTAAAATTCATGTTTTCCTATTCTATTATTCCTATATTTCGATATCTGATATCATTTACACAGGATATTACGCTTCTACAAAGTAGTACTTGATGACCTTCTCTTTCGCTGCCATTGTAGAAGACTTACAACTTCCCTCCTCTATTAGGGGCCGTTTTGGTACAGTCTATTTACTGGCAAAAAGTGATATCACCAATTTGAATAAGTGATATCACCTTTTCGAATAGGTGATATCACCAATTCAAATCAAATAGGTGATATCACGTATTCAAATAGGTAATATCATCAACTGAATAAGTGATATCACCTATTCGAATAGGTGATATCACTTTCTGGCAGTAAATACCAAAAACGGCGCCTCATACTCCTTCAATACCGAAGTTATCACACATGTAATTTGTATACAGTCTATGCATCCCTACTTCATCTGAAAAAAATGGGTGCCCTGTTACAACGCACTTTGAAAAATTACGCACTTTGAAAAAAAATTTTCAAAGTGCGTTAAATTTGGGACCAAATCAACGCACTTTGAAAAAATAAAAAAAATTCAAAGTGCGTATTTTTTTCAAAGTGCGTTGTCACCGTGCCCTGTATACGAAACAATTGCCTAAGATAAGAAAAACTTGGGGAGGGGGGGCTATATACGAAAAAATATGCATGTGAATTTATATCTGTGTGACCTTGAATAGTGCTGCACGTTTTAGTCTTGGACCATGACTCTATATACGTACATATAAGTATAGAGGGGGCGACACGGAGCCCGGTGGGTTGGGATTAGAATTTGTACTGAGTATTTTACCACAACTTTGAAAAGGAAGGTTTAATTATTTTAGCATTTTAGTTATTGTTTATACCATAATAAACCGAATATACTTCTGTATAGAGAAACGATAAGTAACAATTTTCCGGATGTTTAACCGCTGACAGGTAAACATCACAGGATTTTATTAAATTAGGCAAAACAACAAGTATTAAATAAAAGAAAAATAAAATAAAAGCTATATTGAAACCATAATCGATTCAGAAATGAAGTACTAAATAATGTGAATGATTACACTCACTTCTTGAAAATCTTGTTCAGGTTATAAATAATTTGATAACTGTTAAACATTTATACTGAATCAGTCTATTAGATGTAGTGTATCTTACACGCACAGTTTCCTGTTCAAATGATGAACAAAGCAGGTTTTGATACAATAAATGCATTATCTATTGTACAAACAGCTAAACTGACGAAAATAAAAGATGCTTATACGATATAATACAAAGATGTCATTCTCTTACTGTAACAGTTGTCTATGTTAACATATACATGTGAATAGATAGCGTAGTTCGTCTTTGCTGACTACAATTTAATTTAAAGCAAAAATTCTATGCGAAACTTCTTTCTCTTTTTCGAAAATTTACTGGATATAGTTCACATTGTCGTACAAGTCAATTTTAATTGTGACAACATTTATTATACAGACTGTTATTGTTGACGATCCCCTGTCAAGGTGCTACCATAAACTGAAAACATTTTGATTATGGATATGTGTATCTTGATTTTTTTAATTCAAATTTCCAAACAATCATAAATTTTATCTTACATCCTTGTTTATAAAAAAGCAGGTTTGTGTGAAAGATTCCCAGCCTCTTTATTTCTCTAAAATATTATCAGTAATAGTGTAAAGAAGAATTAACAGTGATGACGAAGAAACCCCGGGACTACTGCACACTTTATTCGAGAAGTCAGTGGTGTAAATCAGATGGGGATACTTTATAAAAACTCCAAATATTTTTTTAGAAAATTGTAATTCATAAAATTTTGCCAAAATTATTAACATCAAAGCGTACAATTTTTCATCACATTATTCAACCTTTCCCCGCGATAAATTAAAGTCCAGTCTTTTTGACTTCAGAAATAAGTGCCTTTTCAATGAAAAGAAATTTGTGAATTTACTTACCTTGTCATTCATCATTTGCAAATTAATTTTGTTAAAACATTTTGACTGTACACACATTCTCTGTAGTTGATGCTTGACAATATATAATATATAGTTTTGGAGATCCGATCTTCCAAAAATTCCCAAGAGTACCAATAACGCGCCGGAATAAGCTGACCTTTTTTGAATTCATAAGAAGAAGAATTAATTCGAAACCTTATACACGAGTAGACTATCACACTTGCCGTGGTCTTCAACTCAAAATTTAGATAAATCAAGTATCGACGACTTAACAATAATTACTTCAATCCATGTGTCGACTCGATATAACTTGAACAAAAGATAATACACTTATCTGACATATCTGTTTCGTATTTGGATATTTTACTGGAAAAAGATATTAATGGTAATCTTACAACAAAGATTAACAAGTAAATTGATGCAAAGCATCAAATCGGCCGCTATCAAAATCTAGAATTTCAAAAAGTACTTGCAAAATTTTATAAAAGCATCCTTGCAAGGAAAGCACTTATCAAGATATTCAAAGCTGAAATAGTGATCATTTTTAATTCTTTCTGTCTTCAAAAGCAAAATAAATATTTTTTTTTAAAGTAATAAAAATTGTATTGCATTTTCTCATCATTTGGATTCATCGATGTTATAAAGATTAAAGTCAATGATTAATTATACGAAATTTTTGTCATCAAAATGAAGATGTAGGCCTCTCAAGATGAACCACGTGCCGATACCTTGGATCTTTGTCACGTGATAATGCCTATGGTTTCTGCAGAATAGGCTGTGCTGCATCGTGCGGTGCAAAATGTAGAAAAATAATCCTTGTGTCATTCGCAGCTGTAGCATATTCATAACAATTTTGACTTGTTAAACAACTTTTCAATTTTTACCATGCACTTTTATCACTTCGTTCTTATCCGGAAAATCATGACGATTTCCTTTCGTATCTTACACATATCCAGGATGGGGAGTATCTATTGTAAACTCACTTTTTATTTAACCATAAATGATCAATTATCTGATGCAAAATGATAATGTAATCGAAACATAATAATAACGATTAAATCTTAAATTAAAGCAAGTTTTTAAAATATTTTACTCATGATTTTATACATGTTATCATAATATCATTTATTTAAGAATTATTTTATTGAGCTAATAAAAAATAACATCTCATTTCCCCATGTGCACTTTCTTCTAACACAACCACAAATAGATCGGCCGCTGCTGATAAATGATAAATGTAACGACTTCATTTTCCAATCATCAACCTCCTTACTTATGTAACTAAAGAATGACTGCACTTAAGGACGTTATTTGGAACCTTTTCGGCTACCCATTTGAAGCTTAACATTACAATAAATCGCTGAATTAATCTATGATTAATGTGCAAGCATATGCTTTTGACATTTATTTCTATAATTTTTCGTCATACATATTTCAATAATTACATACAACGCTATTGAAAAGAACATGTTTAACCCATAAATTCCGGAAAATTGAACTGGACCGCTTTCGATTTTAAGGTCGCAGCAAAGGGGCGGAGACATTTACACCCCTACTAATGTTATTGTGATTTAAATTCAAGACACGTGGTTTAGGTTGATCTATTCAAAGGTTATAGGGTAGAACCGGTTTTATAAATAAAATCGGCAGTAAACATGATATTGCTATAGCCTGTTTCTTTTGAAAACATGTACTGTAGTAAATGATTCCAGACCTTTCTGAAAGACTTTCATGATTTTCAAAAGAAAGGGGGTGGCTTAAGGAGAGTGTGTTAAATAACAAAATATCTTATACTTTTCGGCGAAAATAAGAGCTCACTAGTGACCGATTTATTGGTAAAAAATGTGCATTATCATCTACACTGACAAACCTTTGTTTGCCTTATATGGCTATTGTTATGAATGCGCTTGCCACGAGCAACTGACCGATCGTTGAATGAATAGCAACGTTTTCGCCAAATACATGTTTACATTTTACTTCGAACGCGTAGTTCAGGTCAATCTATGATCATGTTAATGGGCTGCAATATAAAAGAAATGAACAAAATACAAAGACAAAAAACTATGAAAGATGTTACGGGCGTTTTTAATTTGTTGTTAAATGGAAAAAAAAGTTTAATAAAATGTAGTTTGTGTCTAGTTCAGAACACAAGCGCTTCAAGGGTAAGGAAAACGAGCAGCATATCTTATGCATTTAAATGGACAAAACTTTGTTTACGTTCGTGATCACGTGTTCGGCCAGGGAATTCACCTGGCAATTGTATTCACCGAAAGTACAACGAAGGAATTAATACAGACGCAAATTACTTTTGCAGTATGATTTCAGAAACCTAGACTTCCGCCGTTTATTTAACAAATGAATTGTTTGTTATTATAAACATGAAAATAATACTTTTAAAAATGCTTTTCATTTACCATAAGATTTTCCTTTTTTTTCAAGCGTAAAATTCCTGTAGTATTCGTAGTAACCCATAATGCAATACTCATTCAGCTGA